GGTTTGCAGATTTCTCTCTTTACAAACGTTTAACTCTTTTACAATTAGTATATTTCACTATTTTCTAGGTATTTTAGATTACTAATCAAAGTGCTTTTTCAGAATGCTAACAAAAAAAAAACACAAATTTCGTCAAAACAGACTATCCAATCAAAATAATATTTCAGGTAAGTACCCTTAGTCGTAAGTGATCTTGTGACTTAGGAACAAATTCCTTTGTAACAACTGCGGCAGCAATAGCTGGCGTATTTATGGCAGTTTCTTCTACAGGTTCGAAATGTCCACCTCGGCAGTCAACCTAAATTTTAGATATATTTGCTAATTAAAAAGGCGAAAACCAGCAGCACCTCTAGAAATTTTAGCACAGGATAGCACGTAATGATGCTACCGGTGAGCTGAGAGAGCCTGGAAGAGTATCGCTCGATAATTTCCTGAAATAACGAAAAATTTGGTTACCGATTTAGCAGATATAGACACATTTTTGCCTGTATATCTAGTCATGATAAGTTTATTTGTACCTTGATATCAGGCTCTGTCGATTCATCCGTGAAATTAAGTTCCTCTAAATGCGAAAACCGTCTTTCAAATACGCAGCGATGGAGCTGCTGGTCGAAATTAGACAGTTCTGATAATGTTCTCGTAATCGTCCTGTAAAACTTGACATTTAGAAAAATTTTTAGTTTCAAACCATTCAGTGCTCACAACTTGAGCACTAACTTCATGCATTTTCAAACTTTTCCTTTTGGAGATTGAAGTCCTTATTTTATTATGTGATGAAAAGGCTGAAGATTTTTTTCCTATTTGAAAGGAATCACCTGGAAAAGATGGCACATCTTTTTTTTTCCGTAAAGGAAGATTCCCGAATTTAGAATGTAATTTGGCGATATACCATTGCGCAGCAGGTTTGACTTTGATAGCCGCAGAAAAATTCAAAATATTTCTTTAAAGTGCGCAACAGAAAGGCAGACAATTGACAAACTCACTGTTTTTTACAATAAAGATTTCCTTTGGCTTACGAGATTTTATAAGAGTAAAACTCTAAACTTGGAAACATCTTGCATAATAAGATTAAGCCGGACAACAGAGGAAAATATGCTAAAAGGTGAACGTTTAGCTCTAAAA